GTGGACGCGGGAGAGCCGGCCGGCCCGGGAGCTGCGGCAGGGCGCGGGCGCGGGCAGGTACTGCGCCACCGCTGCCCTGCCGCTGTCCCTGGGTGCCCGCGGCTTCTCGCACGGACACGCAAGGCCGTTTTCCTTCCTCCGCCACCTGTCTGGCACTTTTGCTAAGGGGACCCAAAGCTACCAGTGGGACGGTGCTTCTCACCGCTCCCGACCTGCCTCCAAATTCGCTCCTCGCACACTCGAGTCATAAATTCTTGGGTGTCTAATTAATTACAGCACTTCTCCTTGTCATTTCCCAGGACTGCACTACCATACAAGTCGTGTGTGCGCACGCAGAGGAGAGAATTCCTCATCTCTATTCCCAGAAGTTTCTCAATGTGGAACCTGGTGTTTTCTCCTCCGGAAATATTCCAGATGCTGCCTGTTTAGCCTCAGCCAAGGCCACCGCCTACCGGGGATTCAGCTGATGGAAGGAGTCAAGACAGTTCACCAGGGTCATCAGACCCACACCCCTGTTTGCACACAAGCACACTTGTAACCAGTGGCACAATGCAGGAATCTGGGCAGCAGGGCCATCCTAGGGTTTTCTGAGCTTGATCTAGGGAGAACTCGATACAAAATTCTCATGGAAGATCCCACATTTAATACTACTAAGCTGGGTCATTGCATTTCTGTTATTTCCTCTCAGAATAGCCCTCTCCTCCATAGTCTTTCTTGAAAACGCAGTTATTTCCTGTTCCTTTCCCACAGTCGTTTTCTCTGTGAGTGCCCACGATGCATCTTTTTAATCTCAGTAGTGGGGAAGCCCAGGAAGAACTAGAAATGAAGATCTAGACTTAAAGTCTAGAAGGCTGACAGAGTTAGGTTGTTATGATTCACAAAGAACTGTGACTCTTCTAAAATCTACATTTGCCAAGTATGCATTTGCCTGGCTTAAATAAGCACAGGTTATTTTCATTGTGTTCTTGACACTTGAGTAATATTTTCAGGCAAAAGGTCAATCATTTCCAGCCATGACATCTTTATATGTGTGTGTGTCTAATTATAAAAGTAATAAAAAGGGGGAGGGAGTAGGAGGAACAAAAAAAAGTTAATCCTGAACTAGATAATAATATTTTGGTTATCATAATTCCTTGTTATGCATTTAACAAAAATAATGCATAAGAAAGGACACTTTTATAGCCACCTGTTTGCAATTACAAGTATGTTACAAATGTCTTTGCAGGTCAACAAATATTCAACAACGTGGTTTTTTATATCAAAGCCGACACACACTTAACAGTTTAATTTGACTATGAGATGATCAAATGAGTAATAAAGAAGCAAACAATTCCTTCTGCATTTTCAAGTGCGGTACACTAACAAAGTGGCTCTAAGATAATTACCCAATTTATAAATAACTATCAAAAAATTTAACGGAGAACCTAAAATATGTTAGGTCTCTTTCAATAAATTCTATTTAACAATGGCGATTTATGAAATGCAGAATGTTTTTGTTTCCTTTGTTTTTGCAGTGCAGGAGACTGAACCCAAGGGCCTCACTCATACTAGGCAAGCACTCTAACCCCGAACTTCACTCCTAGCCCCAGATACATTTTTAACAAAAGAGTCAAGCTGCCAGTCCTCTCTACCTATTATATTAGCATTTGGGTACCACCCACAGTACAGGGTATTGAAGTTTACTAAATAACCCTTTCCACATTATTTAGAAAGTAGAAGGGATAATTTTTTATTTTTTTTTTAAACAAGGCACAAAGCGAAGGAAGAAGGTTGAACCCAATCAATTTTGCTTGAATAATTCAAGCTCAGAGACTTAATAATTAACTAGACACTAAACACATTGTGCGGGTGTTATTTTAAACGTTCCAGTTGGAGTGTGAACGTGCTTGTTAATGAAACCGGTCCTAAGCCAAAGAAAGGCTTGGCCCCTGTAGACAGAGTGCATGCAGTGCTTGTGAAAAACAGAGTGCCACGGGCTGCCTGGCAGGGTGTTTAGGCAGAGTCGGGAGGAGGTCTTATTTGTGAAATTCAGCTTGGATGTCTGGAGATTAAATATATACCACCGCTAGCACTCTGTTTGAATAATCAGAGTAAGTTCTATGAAGATGCTGGGAATTGATCTACCTGTCAGAAAAGAAAGAGGACAGGAGAAGACAAGAAGATAGAGTGGTAGAATAAAGCAGGGCAGATGTCATTAAGCCTAGTCCTCCGACTCGCCCTCTTAAACTAATTCTCCAGTGCAGGTATAAGGCAGGAGAATCCACCCACCAAAGAATGCTTATAACAACCAGCCCCACTCTTGCTATATTTCCATCCAGAATAACTATGGGTTTAGTGATAAACAACAGGCCCAAAAGTAAGGTCAGTGCCCTAGCAGGACAGGGTACATTCAGCCCTCTAGATCTGGGCTTCCACATCCAAAAATTCAACCAACCACAGATTGAAGATATTTAAAAAGAGGTTGTATGTGTACTGAATGTGTACAGATTTTTTATCTTATTTTTATCTCTTAAACAAGACAGCTATTTACATAGTACTTGTATTAGGCATTATAAGTAACCTAGAGATGATTTTAAAGTATGCGAGAAGATGTACGTAGGTTATATGCAGATATTATACTGTTTTATATATGGTGTTCGAGCATCCTCAGATTTTGGTATAGGGAAGGGGCAGAGGGGAGTGGTACTGGAGCCAATCTCCAGCAGATACCAAGAAACAAATGATATAATAGCACTGAGGTATAGTAGCATTTGAGCATTTGATTACATTTGCTTTGGGCTGGGGCTGGGGATTTAGCTCAGCGGGAAAGCGCCTGCCTGGCAAGCGCAAGGTCGTGAGTTCGGTTCCCGGTGCCGGAGAAAAACAAAAAAACAAAACAAAACAAAACAAAACAAAAAATTTGCTTTGGGCCCAAGTAGCATGTTCTGCTCCTGCAAATGAATGACTCTGTTTAGTACCTTCTGAGGATAAAAAAATAACAAATACAAATCCACACATCATTTCAGTCTCCTGACATGACTAATACCAACCACAAAGACTGACATTATAAAAAGAGAGAGTTTCTAATTAATAATTGCTTCCCTTACAGAACACAATGTGTAAACATTGTCCTGTCTAGTTCAAGTATATTATTTTATTCAATCATCAAAACCATATGAAGTAAGCAAGTTATGGTCTCTGTATCAGGTGATAAAGGAAGCTGAGGCTTAGAGAGGTTAAAAAACTTGGGAAAAGTCACAAAATTAGTGAATGACACAGGAGCTGAGATTCAATACCCGCTAGTCTGGTGCCAGTGTCCAAGGCTCTAACCACTAAGTAAGCGAGGTCTGAAAGATCTATGGAATTCTGTACATCCAACTCTTCTTCCTGTCATACATAACAAGGAAGAACTGGAATAGAGTTGCTAATTCCCCTACTTGGACTTTAGAAACTGACATCAAGAAAAAGAAGAAAAACACATGATGTCAGGGTACAATAATAGGGGAAGCAGAAATCAACTATATATTTAACCTTAATTCTAGCACATGTTGGCACAGAAGATGAAGATGTTGAGGAAACACACAGGAACTCTGCCACCCAGAGTTTGGCAGCAGCAGGAAGTTAAATCTGGGGCTGGTAGAAGCTAGAACTATAGCAGAGATAGAAGGGCTACTGGGGAGTGTCTTGCTTACTTTCCTCTCATTGCTGGGACAAAACACCTGCCACTCAAAATTAAAGAAGGAAAAGTTTATTTAGCTCACAGTGTGTGGAGGTTTCAGTCCATACTCGTCTGGATCCAAGGCAGAGTGGCACATGGCAGAGGACAACAGTTTATCGCAGTGGTGGAAGATAGCAAAAGCAACAAGAGCAAAAAGGGAGGAGCAGTAGTAGGCCTCTTTCCCTCCCTTGTACTGGACTCAGGCTCCCCACCCCAGGGTGAGTGTAGCACTCACACCCATAATCCCAGCGTTGGACCATGAGTCAATCAAAAACCCTAGAAACCTGCCCCATGACTGCATGAGGCTTTGGGGGGACATCCAGACACAAACCATAATAGGGAGACTGCCTTAGGCAGACAGTTCAGAGGAGAAACCTCTCACCTCAAATCCTCTCCTATGAATCTAAGCCAATCTTAGTGACTCACTTA